ACGAATGCCAAAGAGCATAGCAGACAGCCGCATATAATGCAAATAAATGTGCTTAGTATCGTTAATGCTAGTGACAAGTATTTTACAAATTCATTTATTTCTACAAACAAAAGCATGTAATAAGAAATACTTGTTCCCCAAAGGATAAAGAAATAGGTTATACCAAAAATAAAATTGAATTTGATATTCAGCTGATCCACGAAAATCCAAAGTTGTTCATGATGCAGCATTAACGTATTTATTTTTCTTAGTAAACGAGTGTCGTTTCTCTTTATTGCAGAAAGTTCAGTAGAGAGTTGCTCGAATTCTTTATGAGAGATAAACATTAATAATGCTCCCAGAAATAAGAAAAATCCGATTCCACCTATGAGAAGAGACGATCCGATGCATTGTTGAATGCTGCACAGAACAGCTTCCCCAATAAATTTCTGCTTTCTTTGTAAAGCCGGAAACGAAAACAGCAAGAATAAAATTTGACATAAGACAATACATACCAATATAATTAAACAAACGAGTAGTGTGACATTTCTGATTAAGTCATTATTTTCGTAAATCATCTTCGTGTAAAAGTATGGATTTCTCAATTTCTTTCTCAAATCGAATTTTGTGTTTCTGATGAATGTAAATCCAGTTGAATAAAATAGAAATAAAACAAAAAATGTTATTTTAAACAACGTCAGATCAATTTTGAATATATTATACCATCTCGCGCACATTGCGTATTCATTTATCCGTGGAATCATCTGCCATAGGAGAAGAATCGTGAATTCCCATAAAAATAATTCGATTAACTGAATACATATATTCATTAATTTCTTATTTTTGAATATTCTGCTTTGGCATTTGCAAATTTCAACTGGATTCAAACCAAAGACGAGTGCCATTCTCCAATAAGGACTAAGGAAACAGCTCAGACAAATTTCCTCTTGTAAATTCGATTCCATGTTTCTGTTGTACCAGTCTATGAATAAAGAAATTGTAACTAAGAGATGCTAGTTACATAATATCATTATTTCTCAAATTTGGAGAATGGATTATTGTAATAAAAGTAATTGATCAATCGATTAATTGAAATGAAAGATAATAATATAATTGATCAATTATTTTTATTACAATAATCCATTCTCCAAATTTGAGAGATAATGATTTTATGTAACTAGTAATTTATTGACAAATCAAGGATTCCTGCAGTGGTTTCTTGTTAATATTATTAACATTTTCTAAATTCTTTTAAAAGCCATACATTTTTATTTCAGTTAGTCACGAGAACTCTCCTTAATTAATCATTTTATAGCAGTGGCGTGCCGTGACATTTGACGATAGGAAAGCTGTGTTTCTGTAAGAAGCCGACTTCCAGGGGCAATCAGTTAATTGCGCGTCAGTGATGGTCTAGGCCAGGGATGGCAAACCGTTTTGTGTTCTCGTGCCATATTGTAAACATACTTAGCTTTAAAGATGTTTATGCGTGCCAAAGTTTCAGACTTCGAATAACGATATTTAAAGAAATTAAATGAATACGCTGATTGAAAAAAGGATGATCAGGTGATAAACCGAAAAGTTGATTGAAAAAGACAGAAATCGTATGATACATTACGTGCCAGATGATTTCTACTTACATGCCACTTTGGGCACGCGTGCCATAGGTTCCTCACCCCTAGTCTAGGCACTCTAAGGTCCATTCGTATTCGTTTGTTCGATAAGCTAGTAAAAACCGTAGACTTCTCTAAATGTATTTTTAATAGATTATCTGACGTACTTAATAAATAAACAAGTTCAATATAATTACCTCTGTTATTAGGTTCAATAGATTCCTTATGCCCTCTAAATGCCAATTCTCGTTTTGATAAAAAACATATAATATCTATTAATTTAGATATAATATATCTATTAGCCGTAACTATCTCGTTATAATCTAATTTCGTCCACTAGTACGTATTTTTTATTAACAGGACTTATTGAACTGGCTTTAAGTATAATGCAACTCAGTTTCACAGATTATAAAATTATTGTTTTATTTAATTTATCTGTAAATTATGTGTCCATAAATGATTACTCTAATAAAAGTTTGTTACGAAATTTGCATTATTATCTGTAGATTAACTGTTTTTCTATTCGTAAGTACTTCAACATGTGCATTTCTAGTACAACATTAAGGTAGCGGTCAAGGTTGTAGCCTACTGCTCTGCGGTCCCGAACTCGAATCCGGACGGGTCGAATATTCCCCAGGAATTTTTCGGGGGGTGGTCCGTTCGGATATGTCGGGCCTTGTCTCTCACCACCCGGCTGTCCCATTGTGGACCCGGCCAGTGGCTTGTAAAAATGTTAATCTTTACCTATATTTTTACCTATCTTTACCTATATAAATATTCTTTACCTATATAAATATTACCTATAATCTTTACCTATCTTTACCTATATAAATATCTTTACTATATAAATACTATATAAAACTATNATCATCTGCCATAGGAGAAGAATCGTGAATTCCCATAAAAATAATTCGATTAACTGAATACATATATTCATTAATTTCTTATTTTTGAATATTCTGCTTTGACATTTGCAAATTTTAACTGGATTCAAACCAAAAACGAGTGCCGTTCTCCAACAAGGGCTAAGAAAACAGCTCAAACAAACTTGTACATTCGAGCTCATGTTTCTTAATTAAATGATTATAAAATTAACTAGATTCATTGATTGAATTGCTAGATAACAATATGCAAACTATAAAGGTTTTATTTTACGTTTAATTTATCGATAAATCAATAATCGATAAATCAATAATTCATACATTATTTATATGAATTTTTTAATGGTTGTGTATTCGCTTAAAAAATCATGCATTTTTTAAAAAAATGTTATTATGAAACACAATAAAAATGGAGTCAAAATAGAGGAAAAATGAAAAAAAAAATTGAACATATGAGTTTGTTTCTTGAAAGATTTTGTGATCATTATTTTTAAAATTCCAGCAACTAGTTGCTTAACTTTTCCGGCAACATTTAAAATTTTGGTGGCGCCATCTGTTATGATATTTTATTTTATAAACTTTTTATATTTCTAACTACAGTACAGTATTATAAAATGGCAAAAAGCTTAATTTTGAGGGTAGGGATGGGTTTTATAAAAAAATTGTAAATGGTAATAATGAGTAAAATCNAAATAGAGGAAAAATGAAAAAAAAAATTGAACATATGAGTTTGTTTCTTGAAAGATTTTGTGATCATTATTTTTAAAATTCCAGCAACTAGTTGCTTAACTTTTCTAACAAAAAAGTTAAAATTATATGTGGTGCCATCTGTTATGATATTTTATTTAGATAATTTTATATTTTTATTTATTATAAAATGATAAAGAAAACTTAATTTTGAGGATAGGGATGGGTTTTATAAAAAAATTGTAAATGGTAATAATTAGTAAAATCGTTATTAATCCGACCTTAATGGAGTTACACACGACTCCCATTATCTCCCACCCCGTCGACAATTAACCCCCAAGATTTAATAGCTTCAATTCCCGTAATACATAAACCTACGTGCAAAATTTTCACAATGAACTGTTTATTTGGATTTGAATTTAAACTAAATGGAAATGTTCCACAAGTTTTTAGGCTGCGAGGAAACGTCTAGTCCAACAATTTAAGGAATTCCGAAAGAATATAGCAGTTCCGAGGAATTCGCGTGCCAAATGCAAGTAGGGCTCACATTAAAAATAAATACTTTTTGTACATTTTTTCATGTTTTGTATGAAATTTATCGGTTTTATAAAGTTTATATATACAGTATATGGAATTTTTATTACGTTAGAGTCTTTATAATCAATCGCCACCAGAACGGAACATGCTGTAATCCGACAGGTCTGTGTACTGTACATGAAATTTTTGTGTTACTGTCAATCGTTAATTTTTTTTGAATGTGCGGTTGGCAAAATAATCACAATCGTATTTAATAAGATAAACTAATCCGTGCACCAAGTGCGTTATTTTACTACATACATACAAAAATCCAGTAATCCAACACCCGCCGGTGAGACATATGTCGGATTACAGGGACTGTATTGTATTTGTAAATGTTATTTCAATAAAACGAAACCAAATAGTATTATTCTTCCAAAAGTTTTGGTTGGCAGTTAGAAATAATTTTGCATTATCGATTTGGCGATTTTGGCAAAGTAAAAAAATTTTCAATCACTGATCTGGTTCATTAATTAAACTAGTTCCGCACTCAGTTCCAGTTCCAGAAGGGGAACTGGATTTTCCATCTCTGTTAATAATGCTAAAAAAAAAATATTTTAACATTTTTACTTAATATAAATTTATAATAGATAATTAAATCGATAATTAATTTTCATTTAGAGTTCATTTTATAAAATAAATAAATTAATATAATAATAAAAATGTTTATATCGAATTTTAGTGACCTCTAGTAAGAACAAAGATAACTAAAATTCCGGAATTACGGCATTGAGAATATTTATATTATAAATATTCATAATATAAAATCAATAATTTTATCTTTAATAATAATTGGAATTTAAATTGAAAGGAAATTTTAGTTGTTTAAGACACACGAGTTATTTTTGTAAATAAAAAAAATTTTTTTACAAGTTGCTAATAATACGAAATCAACGAAAATTAAATTCAATAAATTTATTTTTTTCGAAATATACTTTTTATTTATTCTACATTTATATAATTATTATTTATTTTTTTTAAAAATCCAAATATAAAAATAATTTATGTTAAATTCTGATTAAAAAATGTCTCATGTTTTCTGGGAATCGACATATTTGACAATCACTATAACGTGATACGAACGAAAACGAAAATATTACATAAAACTCGTAAGAAAATAATAAAAAAAATAAAATTTTAAATTTTTAAATTAAATCGTAATTTTTTTTAATCATAAATATCATTATTACGATTTATCGTTAAAAATTTAAATCGGTTTATACGTTCCTTTTATATCATATCGTCATTTTAGAATGTAACGACATCCTGCACCAAACGATAAAAGTATTTCTTGTTGTTGTGTGTCGCTGTCGGAAGTGTTTATGGAATTTCGGAACGGTTCGTCTGATGACGAAGTTGAAGTTTGGTTTAATATTAATTAACCAAATTGTTAGATAAACAATTATTGATGATGATTTTATTTATCTGAACGATTTCTATGAGGTGACAAAGCATAGAAAGCCTGATTTTTACATGTAATGGAGATCGTCCACGACGGGTGGCTTGTCAAATCGCCTCCGGAGAAACGAATTCTAAAAGCTGTAAGTTATTTTTTTCATATAATTTATCGGTTTTTTAAATATTATAAAGTTATTTTGCACTTATTTATTGTGTTACACGTCGTCTAATTGGCTTAGATTCGATGTAATAGAGTATTTTTGATTGTGAAATGGGCCATTATGATTGGTCGAAATAAATCTTACGTAATATTAATTGTTATACTTTTTACACGAGGTTTTAATTGTTTGATGTGTATGAATGTTTGAAAATCGTAACAATCGAGTTTTAAGACGGCGAGCGGGTTGACACGTGTTCCTGATTAATCTAAGGTCAAACTTGGTGCTTAATATAAACATAAACAAGATTTAATTTTGTTTTTTACATTGTTACAAGATCTTTATGCATACATGTAAAAAAATAAGGTATAATACAAGAACACACATCCAAGTGATGCATACAGATAATTTGTGTGTGCTTCTCTCCATTTTCTGCACGAATTTTAATTTTTTCTATCTTTTGTGTTTCTTGCTGGAAGCCACTAAAACAGTTTGCAATAAAAATTGTTGGATCTTCAACTGTTTGTAAAGAGGAGTTGGAAAATTTTTCTCTTTCGTAATGCCCTAAAGCAAATTTTTATCGGTAAGGTGGACTTGAGGAGGTCACGGCATATTAGACTTGCTGTCCGGTTAGCTTGTTCTGATATTTTCTAAATGGAATTCAAAACAGTCCTGTGCTTAGGACTTTCTGACTAATCTAGATTCTGTTATAGTGCTTATGGATTTTTATATAATAAAGTTGTATATAGTTTTTAGTGCATTGTGAAAGTTTTTCTGGAGAGTAATATTTAATGAATATTTTAAATTCATAATTAAGTATTAGTATAGAACAGGGGTCGGCAACCTTTTGAGTCGGAAGAGCCAAAATTACAATTTACAAAATTTCGAAGTTTTTAAAGAGCCAGAAAATTTTTTCTTGCCAACAATAAATAGTACTCGCATAAATAAAGTTTTTTGATAAAAAAAACTAATCTATTTATTTATAAGAAGAAATATCTATTTATTCATATATAAGTAGTGTTTTTCACAACAAATTAGATAATAGAAACATCTGACAACGGCGTCATTCGAGAGCTTCCGACGGACTGACGACGTGTGTCACGGGGAGGGGTGCGGTGAAAAGCGAGTACAAGTGGCTGAGAGATAGAATCAGTGCCTAATCCTCGTTAATCGATTCAGAACGATTTTTAAATGTTTTTTTTTTTAATAAAATAAATAATATTTGCGTATGGAACTAAAGAGCCACAGCTTCACATCCAAAGAGCCGCAGGTTGCCGACCCCTGGTATAGAATAACAAAAATAATTCACAGAATGTATGATAGTTCTTTAAGCCAGTAGCAATGTCGGGTGTTTGAGACGCGACACTTTTTGTGTTTTTAATTTTTAAATTAATCAATTATATTTAGAGCTCTGCCTGCTTGTCTACCTTAAAGTAATAGATTAAGCATTCTGTATTAATTTTCTTGAGTTTTCTTTTATTTTTTAAAGCTCAAAATTGCATTTGGGTCTGACACCCAACATACCCAATGATATTAGTATTTCATTGCAAGTTGTATAGAGCAGTGTTTTTCAAACTGTGGTAAGTGTACAAGTGTACCAATGCTGGTATGTTGATAAATGACAGGTGGTATGCAAGGCTTTGGCTCAATCTGGCAAAGTCATAACTAAAGTCAAAGTCATATGCTGTGAGTTGCCTCACTCATTCATTTTTGCATGAGAAAACAGTAAAAGTTGGAGTTGATGGTGTCAACTCAAGTGCGAGAATGCCACTGCCACTTACATCAACGAGATCTGGTTGTCCAATAAGAGGCAGTCTGTTCGTTTCTCNTTTTTTTTTTTTTTTTTTTTTTTTTTTTTTGAGCTACTAAATTTTTTGTCTATATTTTTGACTATTTTTACTGTTAACTAATAAAAAATATTTTGCAATTCTTTTTAATATATATTAATAGATTCTGATAAATTCTTTGTATATAAATTGGAAAATTCTCACTGGACACTTGCTTACTATGTTATCATGACACAAAGTATATTTTTGTGGTTTTATTTAGTTCAGAGAACCAGGTAGGTTGCTTCCTTCTGCATTTAAAATTCAGCTCCAAGTGAACAACTTGTGGCATATTTTTGGTAACTACTAAAAGTGGTTTATAGACAAATAAACAAATTTGTTATGTTCTTATAATCCGACATTTATCAGAAGTCAAGAAGCACTTAGAAGACAATTTAAATTCACGAAATTGGTTGTTGAGAGGAAATGTCTTGACAAGGCTTTTTGAACTTTTGAGATGAAGTGTGTCTTTTTCTCACAGATAAGACACCACTTGCAGAAAAGTTCGAAAACATGTCTTGGGTTTCCCACCTTGCATACCTTGTGGACATATCAAGAAACTAAATGAACTGAATGTGTCTCTGAAAGGATATGGACACAATGTTTTTACAATGGAAGAAAAATTTCATAAGAAACTGTTTTTGGAATCGTGTTACATGTGCAAATCTAGACACGTTTCATATTTTGTCTGAATTTCTTGAAATGAACTCAATCACTGCCAGTTATAGACAAGAAATACAAGCTGTTATGGTGGAATATTTGCAGAGGCTGCACTCTGAGTTTTTGTTGTATTTCTTGTTCTTATGTAAGGGAAGTGACGTCAGGAGTTGCTGGGTTATGTTGTCATTTGTGATGGACAGCATGGTGCAATTCAAACTTTCCGTCCAGCATCAAAAAACGCTGACAGACATGGCATTGGATCATCATATGAATGAACTTCTCCAAAAAAATCACTAATACAATCTTGGAGTGAAGCTAAAAAAGTATCCTTCAGTTTCAAGCAATTACACCTCTTCTTCCATTTGTATCATCATACTTGTGTGAGAAAGCATTTTCCACCATGCCTAATATGAAGACTAAACCTAGAAGCTGTCTTCATCTTGAACCAGATTTAATTGTGTCTGTGAGCACCCTTTCACCAAGGATACAGACTTTAATTAGAAAAAACAGGCATATGTTTTCCACTAAAATTGCCTAGCAGAGAAGTTATGTTTCAGCTGAAATGTCTTATTTGTAACTTATGTGCATGTTGCTTGCATGTTTGCTGAAACATTACATCCACATGTCGTTATTGTTTTATTGGACGGATGGGTGTCATGCAGTTAATAGTATGCCAGACTTTCTGTTTTCAGGAACAGGTACTTAAAAGGAAAAGTTTGAAAACCTTCTAGCATAGAGTATAAGGATAATGCATCTAAATATTTTTACAAAAAATTATGTATGCTTAAAACATTGCAATATAGTCTGTAATAATTGCTTTGATTAAAACAATTCTTTTGCATCTCTCTTAAAAGGAGAGATTATCTAAAAATTTGTTAAAAAATGATGATAAATAAGATCTTTCTGCATAATTTTGGTTAATTTATTATCTATAAACTGTGTTCAAACAGATAACAATAAAACTTATTACACATGAACAATAATTTTCTTTAATCATTGATTTACTCGTAATTTCTCTCTCACAGATCCAATATTCCCACTTGTGTGATTTTTCCACATACCTATTGGCAGATTAATCGTTTCAGATATTAATTTTTTACCTGAATAGAAAAATGTACATGCATAATGAAAATGCTAAATTTTAAGATTTATAATATAAATTAAAGGAAACATTCATTCAATTATTATTTTTAGATAAAAGATAAAATTGCATTATCACCAATTACTATTATTTTTAATGGAAACATTTTAGTAGTTTGAAAGAAATATTATTTTTAAGACATATCATAAACTGGCTTAAATAAATAATAAATATTTCTAGAATTTTTGAATTTTATCACTAATATTCTGACAAAAAATTATTAAAATAATGAATGAAATAAATTAGAATACTTGATCATATCTCTATAGATTCTAATAATTAAATTAAAAATTTGAAAATCAAATGTGTTTATATTTTTATTAATTATTTGAATTTAGAAAAATGAATTATGTATTATATACTGAGTATATAATATATGTGATTTAAGTCATTTAATAACTGTGCAATGATTTTAAATATTCCTTAGTATATTTAGTCAGTCATAATCCATTGTAGCAATTCATAATCTCAAGCATAAACTGAAATCACAGGCAACCAGTGGACTTTTATCTTATTTTATATTTCTAAATATTTTTGTCAGCAAACAAAAACAGTAGAAATGTTATGATGGTAAGTGTTTTTGCTGAACCTGAACAGTTATATATATATATATATATATATATATATATATATATATTAAGCCCAGTACGAACTACTTGATACCATTACTTTTGACTTGATTTCAGATGAGCTTTCTGTAATCATGTTACTACTTTCCTTTGACAATCTTGTAATGGGATGGATTGTAATATCACTCATGACATAGTTCTAAAGAAGCAATAAATATTTCCTCTACTGTCCCATGAACTATTGCTGAGAGGAGTTTCTTTATAACATGATAAAAATTAGCAATTATGATATGTTATAGTTTCTTGCTACCACTTCTTTCAAGTTTTTTTTATTAGCAAAAAATTAATTAATAAGCATTTATTTAATTAATACAAGTAATATATAATGGACAAGGAAATGTGTAATGCTAAAGATATTTCATACATGTTTTGCAGTTTTAATAATTTAATAAAATAATTGATAAACACTCAAAAACTTTTCCACTTGAAACTGCAGCTTGCAGCAAAATAAGTAGTGCAAATACTGTATTTCACTGTGCATGAAAGTCTCATAACCATTGCACAAAAAATCCAACATGTTAGTTCCTTTGAATTTCTCAGATCCGTCTACTTTCAATTAAATGGTATGACATAGAGTGACATTAAATTGGAGATTGCATTGGTCAATGGTCAAACCTATGATAATCTTATGAACTTAGTTTGATATTGTATCTGACTAGTTTGTGCTTAGCTTCAAAAATCAGTTATGTATAATACTGATGATGAAAATGTGAACTTTAATTATATCAG